ATTCACCGTTAGCTTCCATGACTCATTCAAAGTTAGCTTACATGACTCATTCACAGTTAGCGTCCATGACTCATTCACCGTTTTCAATGGACTCATTCACCGTTAGCTTCCATGAAATCATTCACAGTTAGCTTCCATGAAACATTCACCGTTAGCATGACTCATTCACCGTTAGTTCCATGACTCATTTCACCGTTTGCTTCCATGACGCATTCACCGTTAGATTCCATGACTCATTTCACAGTTTGCTTCCATGACTTCATTCCGTTAGCTTACATGACTCATTCACCGTTAGCTTCCATGACTCATTCACCGTTAGCTTTCATGTACTCAATTCACCGTTAGATTAAATGGACTCATTCACTGTTAGCTTCGTGACTAATTGTTACATGACACATTCACCGTTAGCTTTGACTCATTACACCGTTAGCTTCATGGACTCATTCACCGTTAGCTTCCATGTCATTCATTCACCGTTAGCATCTTCCATGACTCATTCACCGTTAGCTTCCATGACTCATTCACCGTTAGCTTAGCATTCACCATGACTTCATGACTCATTCACCGTTAGCTTACATGACTCATTCACCGTTAGCTTCCATGACTCATTCACCGCTTCCATGATTCATTCACCGTTAGCTTCCAGCTCATTCATTCACCGTTAGCTACATGACTCACACTTCATTCACCTGTTAGCTTGATTCATTCACCGTTAGCTTCCATGACTCATTCACCGTTAGCTTCCATGATTCATTCACCGTTAGCTTCCATGACTCATTCACCGTTAGCTTACATGACTCATTCACCGTTAGCTTCTGATCATTCACCGTTAGCTTCCATGACTCATTCACCGTTAGCTTACATGACTCATTCACCGTTAGCTTCCATGACTCATTCACCGTTAGCTTCCTTGAATCATTCACCGTTAGCTTCCATGACTCATTCACCGTTAGCTTACATGACTCATTCACCGTTAGCTTACATGACTCATTCACCGTTAGCTTACATGACTCATTCACCGTTAGCTTCCTTGATTCATTCACCGTTAGCTTACATGACTCATTCACCGTTAGCTTACATGACTCATTCACCGTTAGCTTCCATGACTCATTCACCGTTAGCTTCCATGACACATTCACCGTTAGCTTCCTTGATTCATTCACCGTTAGCTTCCATGACACATTCACCGTTAGCTTACATGACTCATTCACCGTTAGCTTCCTTGATTCATTCACCGTTAGCTTACATGACTCATTCACCGTTAGCTTACATGACTCATTCACCGTTAGCTTACATGACTCATTCACCGTTAGCTTCCTTGATTCATTCACCGTTAGCTTCCATGACACATTCACCGTTAGCTTCCATGACACATTCACCGTTAGCTTCCATGACACATTCACCGTTAGCTTCCATGACACATTCACCGTTAGCTTCCTTGATTCATTCACCGTTAGCTTACATGACTCATTCACCGTTAGCTTCCATGACACATTCACCGTTAGCTTCCATGACTCATTCACCGTTAGCTTCCATGATTCATTCACCGTTAGCTTCCATGACACATTCACCGTTAGCTTCCATGAGTCATTCACTGTTAGCTTCCATGACACATTCACCGTTAGCTTCCATGACACATTCACCGTTAGCTTACATGACTCATTCACCGTTAGCTTCCTTGATTCATTCACCGTTAGCTTCCATGACTCATTCACCGTTAGCTTCCATGATTCATTCACCGTTAGCTTCCATGACTCATTCACCGTTAGCTTCCATGACTCATTCACCGTTAGCTTCCATGATTCATTCACCGTTAGCTTCCATGACTCATTCACCGTTAGCTTCCATGACTCATTCACTGTTAGCTTCCATGACTCATTCACTGTTAGCTTCCATGACTCATTCACTGTTAGCTTCCATGACACATTCACCGTTAGCTTCCATGACACATTCACCGTTAGCTTCCATGACTCATTCACCGTTAGCTTCCATGACACATTCACCGTTAGCTTCCATGACTCATTCACTGTTAGCTTCCATGACACATTCACCGTTAGCTTCCATGACACATTCACCGTTAGCTTCCATGACACATTCACCGTTAGCTTCCATGACTCATTCACCGTTAGCTTCCATGAGTCATTCACTGTTAGCTTCCATGACACATTCACCGTTAGCTTACATGACTCATTCACCGTTAGCTTCCTTGATTCATTCACCGTTAGCTTACATGACTCATTCACCGTTAGCTTCCATGACACATTCACCGTTAGCTTCCATGACTCATTCACCGTTAGCTTCCATGATCATTCACCGTTAGCTTCCATGACTCATTCACCGTTAGCTTCCATGACTCATTCACCGTTAGCTTCCATGACACATTCACCGTTAGCTTCCATGACTCATTCACCGTTAGCTTCCATGACTCATTCACCGTTAGCTTCCATGACTCATTCACCGTTAGCTTACATGACTCATTCACTGTTAGCTTCCATGACACATTCACCGTTAGCTTCCATGAGTCATTCACCGTTAGCTTACATGACTCATTCACCGTTAGCTTCCATGACACATTCACCGTTAGCTTCCATGACTCATTCACCGTTAGCTTCCATGACTCATTCACCGTTAGCTTCCATGACTCATTCACTGTTAGCTTCCATGACTCATTCACCGTTAGCTTCCATGACTCATTCACCGTTAGCTTCCATGACTCATTCACCGTTAGCTTCCATGACTCATTCACCGTTAGCTTACATGACTCATTCACTGTTAGCTTCATGACTCATTCACGTTAGCTTCCATGACACATTCACCGTTAGCTTCCATGATTCATTCACCGTTAGCTTCCATGACTCATTCACCGTTAGCTTCCTTGACTCATTCACCGTTAGCTTCCATGACTCATTCACTGTTAGCTTCCTTGACACATTCACCGTTAGCTTCCATGACTCATTCACCGTTAGCTTCCATGACTCATTCACTGTTAGCTTCCATGATTCATTCACCGTTAGCTTCCATGACTCATTCACTGTTAGCTTCCTTGACTCATTCACCGTTAGCTTCCACGACCCATTCACCGTTAGCTTCCATGACTCATTCACCGTTAGCTTCCATGACTCATTCACCGTTAGCTTCCATGACTCATTCACCGTTAGCTTCCACGACCCATTCACCGTTAGCTTCCTTGACTCATTCACCGTTAGCTTCCACGACCCATTCACTGTTAGCTTCCATGACACATTCACCGTTAGCTTCCATGACACATTCACCGTTAGCTTCCATGACTCATTCACCGTTAGCTTCCATGACACATTCACCGTTAGCTTCCATGACTCATTCACTGTTAGCTTCCTTGACACATTCACCGTTAGCTTCCATGACACATTCACCGTTAGCTTCCATGACTCATTCACTGTTAGCTTCCATGACTCATTCACTGTTAGCTTCCATGACTCATTCACTGTTAGCTTCCATGACTCATTCACCGTTAGCTTCCATGACACATTCACCGTTAGCTTCCATGACTCATTCACCGTTAGCTTACATGACTCATTCACCGTTAGCTTCCATGACTCATTCACCGTTAGCTTCCATGACACATTCACCGTTAGCTTCCATGACACATTCACCGTTAGCTTCCATGACACATTCTCATTGTCCATAAACTCTGCTCTGACAACTCTACCACATTATAAATACACATACAGTATTAGAAAAGAGTAGCATCTTAGAATCCAGAAATGACGGTTCACATCATTGTTTCTTTTTACCAGTAGCAAAACGTGGAATGAATAAAAGAAAAATTAAAGAAAAGCACTGTAGGTTTAGTTACATATTACTAGTTACATGCAGTAGATATTTACTGCCTTATAATCAGTAGCGTTTGAGCCGCTGACGGAGCCCCCTAGTGGCGATCAGGAGGGACGCAATAGCAACTTTGCTATTGCGTCGGCACGGTGGCTGAGTGGATAGCACTCTCGCCTCTCAGCAAGAAGGTCCTGGGTTCGAATCCCGGTTGGACTAGGGCCTTTCTGAGTGGAGTTTGCATGTTCTCCCCGTGTCTGCGTAGGTTTCCTCCGGGTGCTCCGGTTTCCCCTACCGCTAAAAATACGTGCAATAGGTCTGGCATGTGCCTCCTGTACTGGCCCCACTCCCAAAAATCACAATTGTAAACCGCTTTGAGACTCCGATGTGCAGTGAAAAAGCGGTATATTAAACAAAAATAATAATAATAAAAATAAATAAATAAAGATAAAAAAAATAAAGAACTTAAATGATATTGTAATGAGGTAGACGTAGCACTTAAAGCGGGAGAGAAAGTGTTTTGCTGATGTAATGCAGACCAAAGACATCAATCACAATAAACACATTTTATTCAAAGTGATACAAAGTTTTGTGAATCTCTCTCTCACATGGAAGTGACGTAATAAGCCAGGGTCAAATCCAGGGTACCTTACTTTTTCTTTTAATAAATAGCATGTGTTTTTTACTGTTCAGATTCTTGTTCACGAGCATTTATAAATAGAACTTAAGGTCATGGGGGAGGGTCGTCATAGCAACAGGTTTTTGAGCCTTCGGACCTCTCACATGGTTTTTACTCTCAGTATCTGCTCCTCCTATCTGCAGAGAGCCATCTAACAACAAGAAACGATACTCTACTGGTATAAGGGAGAGACCAGAGGGAGACCAAAGAGAGAGACTGGAGAGAGACCAGGGAGAGAGACCAAAAGAGAGAGAGACCAGAAAGAGACCACAAAGAGGGATCAGAGAAAGACCAGAGAGACACCAAAGAGAGAGACCAGAGAGAGACACCAAAGAGAGAGACCAGAGAGAGAGACCAGAGAGAGACTGGAGAGAGACCAGAGAGAGAGACCAAAGAGAGAGAGACCAGAAAGAGACCACAAAGAGGGATCAGAGAAAGACCAGAGAGACACCAAAGAGAGAGACCAGAGAGAGACCAAAGAAAGAGACCAGACAGAGAGACCAAAGAGAGAGTCCAGACAGAGAGACCAAAGAGAGAGACCAGAGAGAGAGACCAAAGAGAGAGACCAGAGAGAGACCAGTGAGAGACCACAAAGAGACCTGAGAGAGAGACCAGAGAGAGAGAGCAGAAAGGGACCAAAGAAAGAGACCAGACAGAGAGACCAAAGAGAGAGTCCAGACAGAGAGACCAGACAGAGAGACCAAAGAGAGAGTCCAGACAGAGAGACCAGAGAGAGAGACCAGAGAGAGACACCAAAGAGAGACCAGAGAGAGAGACCAAAGAGAGAGTCCAGACAGAGAGACCAAAGAGAGAGAACATAGATAGACCAGAGAGAGACCAGTGAGAGACCACAGAGAGACCTGAGAGAGACCAGAGAGAGACCAGAGAGAGACCAGAGAGAGACCAGAGAGAGACCAGAGAGAGACCTGAGAGAGACCAGAGAGAGACCTGAGAGAGACCAGAGAGAGACCAGAGAGAGACCTGAGAGAGACCAGAGAGAGACCAGAGAGAGACCAGAGAGAGACCAGAGAGAGACCAGAGAGAGACCAGAGAGAGACCAGAGAGAGAGACCAGAGAGAGAGAGAGCAGAAAGGGACCAGAAAAAGACCAGGGAGAGAGACTGGAGTCTAATTTTTTTTTTTTTTATTGAATGTAGTTCCATTGTTGTGGTTTGGAAATTAGGTACCCCAGCTTTATGTCCTGACTCGTTTTCGGCATAGGCACAACGGCTTCACGTGCACGCTCCTCCAGCCTCACATGCGCACCCTCACACACTCTCCCCTGGTCCTGGTCCTGGTCCTGGTCCTGGTCCTGGTCCCGCACACACCTCCTGGTAGAACTGCTGCAGGAGCTGGACTTGGTTCTGTCGCAGGATCACATGAGGACGCAGAGACCGGAGCTGCTCACAGGCCTCCTCTGGACTCACACAGTTCACCTACACACACACACAGAGGCACGCACACACACATACACACAGGTAAAGACACACACACACACACAGAGACACACAAACAAACACACACACATGCACACCGAGACACACAAACAAACACACACACACATGCACACAGACATACACAGGTAAAGACACACACACACACACAGATACACAGAGAGAGACACACACACAGAAACAGCCACACACACACACACACACACACACACATCAAGCGTTAAAGCCAGTGTGTGTAACATTGTTGGTACTCTGTAGATGCTTTAGGACAGCAGAAGTAGGTCTGGACGTGTGGAGGCAGTGTTTCAGATTGATGCAGCTAAAACCTGGAACAGTCTTCCTGAAAAAGTCCAAATCCAGGTTAAAAACTGTCCTGTTTAGCTGTGCACACATTAGTCAGTTAGAACACTTAAGAACCAGCTCGGCCCGGACAGAACCTGAAGCAGGACCTGGTACTGGTTAAATAAGGCCAGTGGAAATGTTTCTTATCAGGGCAGGGAAGGGAAAGAGAAGGGTACTGTAGGGTAGGGTAGGGAAGGGAAGGGAAGGGTACTGTAGGGAAGGGTAGGGTAGGGAGGGGAAGGGAAGGGAGGGGAAGGGAAGGGTAGGGAAGGGAAGGGAAGGGAGGGGTAGGGAAGGGAAGGGAAGGGAGGGGTACTGTAGGGAAGGGTAGGGTAGGGAAGGGAAGGGAAGGGAGGGGAGGGAGGGAAGGGTAGGGAAGGGAAGGGTAGGGTAGGGTAGGGAAGGGAAGGGAAGGGTACTGTAGGGAAGGGTAGGGTAGGGAAGGGAAGGGAAGGGAGGGGAAGGGAAGGGTAGGGAAGGGAAGGGAAGGGTAGGGTAGGGAAGGGAAGGGAGGGTAGGGGTAGGGAAGGGAAGGGTAGGGTAGGGGAAGGGAAGGGTAGGGTAGGGAGGGAAGGGTAGGGAAGGGAAGGGAAGGGTAGGGTAGGGAAGGGAAGGGTAGGGTAGGGTAGGGAAGGGAAGGGTAAGGTAGGGAAGGGAAGGGAGGGAGGGGAAGGGAAGGGTAGGGTAGGGTAGGGAAGGGAAGGGAAGGGTAGGGTAGGGTAGGGAAGGGAAGGGTAGGGAAGGGAAGGGAAGGGAGGGGAAGGGAAGGGTAGGGAAGGGAAGGGTAGGGTAGGGAAGGGAAGGGAGGGGAAGGGAAGGGTAGGGTAGGGTAGGGAAGGGAAGGGAAGGGTAGGGTAGGGTAGGGAAGGGAAGGGTAGGGTAGGGTAGGGTAGGGTAGGGTAGGGTAGGGAAGGGAAGGGTAGGGTAGAGTAAAGTAGAGTCAGACTAAGAAGGGCTGGTGGAAACAGGGCTTATGGCTCTGGCTCAGATTGGTTCTATGTATATACTGTAGTTTAGACCAGAGAGAGAAAACAGAGAGAGACCAGAGAGAGACCAGAGAGACTAAAGAGAGATCAAAGAGAGACCAGAGAGAAAGACCAGAGAGAGACCAGAGAGAGAGCGAAAGAGAGACCAGAGAGAGACCAGAGAAAAAGACCAGAGAGAGACCAAAGAGAAAGACCAGAATGCGACCAGAGAGAGACCAGAGAGAAAGAAATAGAGAGAGACCAAAAAGAAACCAGAAAGAGACCAGAGAGAAAGACCAGAGAAAGCCCAGAGAGAAAGAGATAGAGAGAGACCAGAAAAAAAACAGACAGAGACCAGAAAGAGACCAGAAAAAAACCAGACAGAGACCAGAAAGAGACCAGAGTGAGACCAGAGTGAAACCAGAGTGAAACCAGAGAGAGAAACTAGAAAGAAAGCAGAGAGAAACCCACACACACAAACCCTGACAGTAGCCACAGTGGTGTGTGAGAGCGCCCCCACCTGGATGAGGTAGGCAGCAGCCACAGTGGCGCTCCTGCAGCGCCCGGCCTTGCAGTGCACGTAGACGCTGTGGCCCTTCTCCCGATGCCCCACTGCAAACTGCACCCCTCTGTGCAGCTGCTGCAGCGACGGCAGCCCCAACAGGTCCACTGTGCTCAGGCGCAACTGCTGCACCCCGGCCTCCTGCCACTCCTGCACACACACACAGATACACATACACACAGACACACACAGATACACACACACGGATACACGGATACACACACACACACAGATACACACAGTGACACACACAGACAGACACACACACACACACACACAGACACACACAGATACACACAGATACACACACACACAGACACACACACACAGATACACACACGGATACACACAGATACACACACACACATACACACACAGACACACACAGACAGGCAATTAACACACTGTGTGTTTTTTCAGCTTAGAAACAAATTGAAGAAACTGGTTTCACGGAACGACTTGGAGCAAATCATTCATGCCTTTGTGTTTTCTCGTTTGTCTAAACAAGAAGGAGCTGTTCCATTTGCAGTTAGTGCAGAAATCTGCAGCTCGGGTTCCAGAGGAAACCGGTCATTCCAGGACCAGAGGAAACCGGTCCTTCCAGGCGGTTGTGCCTAAGCTCTGGAACCATCTTCCGCTCTCTCAGCGGTTGATGGAGTCTGTTGATTCGGACATGAAAGAGCTCTCGCTCCCATCTCTGTGTGGAGTGGGAGATAAATGTCCACAATTCTAAAGTGCTTTGTGACTCTGGTCTGTGAAAGGCGCTATATAAATACAGATTACTTACTTACTTATTCAAAGGTCAGCTGAAAAACCTATTTTGTTGTTTTACTTTTTCTTTTGTTGATTTTCTTGCGGCTGTTTTAAATTGTATTTTAACTTGTATTTTAACTTGTATTTGACCTGTACCCCCAGGGGACAGTCCTCGCACCGTTCCTCTTCACCCTCTACACTGCGGACTTCAGACACAACACGGACGGTTGTGTTCTACAGAAGTTCTCAGACGGCTCTGCCATCATCGGACTCAGCTCCGAGGAGGATGACGCAGAGTACAGAGGAGTTATACAGGACTTTGTGGACTGGTGTCAGCGGAACCACCTCCTCATCAACGCGGGGAAGACCAAGGAGATGGTGGTGGATTTCCGCAGACGTCACCCTGCCGCTCCAGCCCCAGTGAACATCCAGGGAAAGGACATTGAGAGAGTGGACTCTTACAAGTACCTGGGTGTTCGTTGAACCACAAACTGGACTGGACTTTGCCTGGCCTGCCAAACGATATGCTTTTTCAAAGACATATAGTCTGGGAACGAGCTTGATCTCAGCGAATTCCCGGTGGGCGTGGTTGACAGACTGCATCAACCAATTAGATGCACACAGGATATGACGCAGCAACTAGCGGCACCCAAGCCGTTTCAGTAAACACAAAACGAGGGATGGCGGCATGTCAGCTAGAGCAAATGTAAACGACTGCTGTCGATTTTGTAACAAAAACTTAAAGATACGAGGAGTTATTAGCAACTCAAAGGTGAAAGGAAGTCCCGCCTCTCGGTGCGTGATTGGACCGATGTGGGTAAAATCGTGAAATGATAGGCTAGGAAGAGGTGTCCAGACGGTTCTTCTTTTGAACAGAAAGGAGGAGTGTCTGGCAGGCCAGGCAAGACTGGACTCATAACACAGACGCCCTCTTCAAGAAGGGCCAGAGCCGGCTCTACCTGCTGAGGAGGCTCAGGTCTTTTGGAGTGCAGGGGCCACTCCTGAAGACCTTCTATGACTCTGTGGTGGCATCAGCCTCTTGTACGGTGTGTAAGTAGTAATCTTTATTTATATACCGCCTTTTCACTGCAGATCTGAGTCTCAAAGCGGTTTACAATTGTTAATTTTTGGGCATTTGTCTCTCACTCCACACAGAGATGGGAGCAGGGTCGCCAGTACAGGAGGCGCATGCCAGAACTATTGGACATATTTTTAGTGGTAGGGGAAACCGGAGTACCCGGAGGAAACCTACGCAGACACGGGTAGAACATGCAAACTCCACTCAGAAAGGCCCTGGTCCGACCGGGATTCGAACCCAGGACCTTCTTGCTGAGAGGCGAGAGTGCTATCCACTCACCCACCGTGCCGGTCATCAGGAAGTCCAGCTCAGTCCTGGGCTGTTCCCTGTGCAGCAGGTGGGGACAGGAGGGTCCTGGACAAACTAACATCTATGTGGACCATGACTGTCGCCCCCTGCAGGACACTCTCTCTGCTCTGGAGAGCAGCTCCAGTGACAGACTAATTCACCCTCGCTGTGTGAAGGAGATGTTCCGTAGGTCTTTCCTTCCTGCTGCTGTCAGACTGTACAACGAGAATGTGTAACAGGAACTGCTGAGTCTGCACAAGTGTTTCTGATAATTCACAAGTAACTTTGTCACTAGTCACTTTACCTGTTATCAGTACTACTACAGTACTACATATCTGATATTTACTGTTATCAGTACTACTGTATAATTTCATATCTGATAATTCTCCCATTCAAGTCACTTTACCTGTTGATATTATTTCTGATGTTTATTCTGCTCATATTCATATTCTCATATTCTCCGCTGCTAATGTATAATATAGACATCTGTAAATACTCCGAACCAAGTGCAATTGTAGCCCAGATTTTCTTATTTTATTTTATTTTGTTTTATCTTAAATTTATTGTCTATTATCTTAAATAATAGACTTTGATGTGTGCAATCTGAGTGCTCTTATTTCCTTTCTCTGCTGTAATGTGCAACGATGACACTGAAATTTCTCCACTGTGAGACTAATAAAGGTTTATCTTATCTTTACTGTGAAGCGCTTTGTGGCCTTGGTTTGTCAGTATAAACAAAGCTTACTCACTTACAGACAGAATTAAATCATGTTGTGACCAGTTATCCCAGTCCTAAACACTCGTCTCTCTGCTACATCAAACATGAAAACCAGCGGCTTATATTCAAGAATAGTCTCTATGTGGACAATATTGATTTTGTTTTCAGATTCCGGGGGTGTGGTTCTACACAGGTGCCTTATAGTCCAGACAGTAAGTAATCTTTATTTATATACCGTCTTTTCACTGCACATTGGAGTCTCAAAGCGGTTTACAATTGTTATTTTTGGGAGTGGGGTCGCCAGTACAGGAGGCACATGCCAGACCTATTGTACATATTTTTAGTGGTAGGGGAAACCGGAGTACCCGGAGGAAACCTACGCAGACACGGGGAGAACATGCAAACTCCACTCAGAAAGGCCCTGGTCCGACCGGGATTCGAACCCAGGACCTTCTTGCTGAGAGGCGAGAGTGCTATCCACTCAGCCACAGTATAATAATAGTGTCATGACTGCTACACAGAAGGACTGTCTCAGGGACAGCACCGAGCTCCTGGAGGGACTGCCAAGGTCCATGGATCATTCACAGTTTGAGAAAATATTAGTTTCAAGAGCAAATGTATTCTCACTGCAGGGCTACTCTGGTGTTAGGGGGGCCCTGGTGTATGGAGGGCCCTGGTGTATGGGGGCCCTGGTGTATGGGGGCCCTGGTGTATGGGGGCCCTGGTGTATGGGGGCCCTGGTGTATGGGGGCCCTGGAGTGTCCCAGGACTCACCTGAGCAGAGTTACAGAGCCAGCGAGTCTCGTACTCCTCGTTCATGGTGATGACTGCAGCCACGTGCTCCTCCTCCACCAGCTGCACACACACACACACACACACACACACACACACACACACACAAGACACACACACACACACACACACACATTGTTTAAGATGATCCTGGCCTGTGTCGCCCCCTAGAGTCCAAAGACCGTGGCCACACCATAGACCTGTTCACACCATAGACCGTGTCCACACCATAGACCGTGTCCACACCATAGACAGCGTCCACACCATAGACCGTGTCCACACCATAGACAGTGTCCACACCATAGACCGTGTTCACACCATAAACCTGTTCACACCATAGACCGTGTCTACACCATAGACAGTGTCCACACCATAGACAGTGTCCACACCATAGACAGTGTCCACACCATAGACCGCGTCCACACCATAGACAGCGTCCACACCATAGACCGCGTCCACACCATAAACCTGTTCACACCATAGACCGTGTCTACACCATAGACAGTGTCCACACCATAGACAGTGTCCACACCATAGACAGTGTCCACACCATAGACAGTGTCCACACCATAGACCGCGTCCACACCATAGACAGTGTCCACACCATAGACCGTGTTCACACCATAAACCTGTTCACACCATAGACCGTGTCTACACCATAGACAGTGTCCACACCATAGACAGTGTCCACACCATAGACAGTGTCCACACCATAGACCGCGTCCACACCATAGACAGCGTCCACACCATAGACCGCGTCCACACCATAGACAGCGTCCACACCATAGACCGCGTCCACACCATAGACAGCGTCCACACCATAGACAGCGTCCACACCATAGACCGCGTCCACACCATAGACAGTGTCCACACCATAGACCCTGTTCACACCATAGACCGTGTCTACACCATAGACCGCGTCCACACCATAGACCGCGTCCACACCATAGACAGTGTCCACACCATAGACAGTGTCCACACCATAGACAGTGTCCACACCATAGACAGTGTCCACACCATAGACAGTGTCCACACCATAGACAGTGTCCACACCATAGACAGTGTCCACACCATAGACAGTGTCCACACCATAGACAGTGTCCACACCATAGACCGCGTCCACACCATAGACAGTGTCCACACCATAGACCATGTCCACACCATAGACCGTGTCCACACCATGTGTCGCACCATAGCCGTGTCTCACCTGTTTGGTCATGGACTTGAAGGGCAGAGCTCCGAGGATCAGGTGAGAGTCCACTCTGTCGAACCAGTGCCTCCCGCCCCAGCGCTCCATCACCACGTTGTAGGCCAGGGTGGGGTAGAAGAGCAGGCGGGCAGACAGCCACGCCATGGGGACCAGGGGAGAGCAGGGACCAGGGGAGAGCAGGGACCAGGGGAGAGCCGGGACCAGGGGAGAGCAGGGACCAGGGGAGAGCCGGGACCAGGGGAGAGCCGGGACCAGGGGAGAGCAGGGACCAGGGGAGAGCAGGGACCAGGGGAGAGCCGGGACCAGGGGAGAGCAGGGACCAGGGGAGAGCAGGGACCAGGGGAGAGCAGGGACCAGGGGAGAGCAGGGACCAGGGGAGAGCAGGGACCAGGGGACAACCAGAGGATCAGGCTGGACTGTGTGGGCAGAGGAGCAGGAGAGAGTCACTCCAGTTATAAAGTAGAATGAAATGACGACACCTTTAATGTGAGACTCAGAGAATCCGAGGATTAGTCTCGGTCTAAACAGGTCGTATTATGTTTAATCCGTCAGACTCAGACGTCAGGAACCTATGGCTCTTTTTATGATTGTGTCTGGCTCTCAGACAAATCTTAGTCGGCCCTAATAGTAAGAATATTTTATGCAAGTATAATAATGTTATTAAACAAATTAATACAATCTGAGACAAATATAAGTTAAATGAGACTAATGTAAAGTGCTCTCTGTGACCTTGGTCTGTGAAAGAATGTTATAAACTAAAACATCACTGATTCACACTGGCTCCTATAGAAATGCATGGTATCAGTTAAATGTTTTTGGCTTTCTGATACAACTTAATAATGATAATAATAATATATTGGTTTTATTCAGCGCTTTTCTGGACACTTAAAGAAGAATGTAATTATTATTTGACTTTGACAGTGGTGATAAACTACTACTGTAGCCACAGCTGCCCTGGGGCACACTGACAACAACTTGTTCCTATGTTCCTGTCATTCACCTGTCAAACTGTTTTTAACCTGAAGTGTGTATTTATACAGTCCCATACAGAGAGAGAGAGAGAGAGACAGAGAGAGAGAGTGAGAGAGAGAGAGACAGGGACAGAGAGAGAGAGAGAGAGAGACAGAGAGAGAGAGAGACAGGGACAGAGAGAGAGAGAGAGAGACAGAGAGAGAGAGTGAGAGAGAGAGAGACAGGGACAGAGAGAGAGAGAGAGAGACAGAGAGAGAGAGAGACAGGGACAGAGAGAGAGAGAGAGAGACAGAGAGAGAGAGTGAGAGAGAGAGAGAGAGACAGGGAGAGAGAGAGAGAGAGAGAGACAGAGAGAGAGAGAGACAGGGACAGAGAGAGAGAGAGAGAGAGAGACAGGGACAGAGAGAGAGAGAGAGAGAGAGAGAGAGACAGAGACCGAGACAAAGAGAGAGAGACAGGGACAGAGAGAGAGAGAGAGAGAGAGAGAGAGAGAGACAGGGACAGAGAGAGAGAGAGAGAGAGAGACAGGGACAGAGAGAGAGAGAGAGAGAGAAACAGAGAGAGAGTACCCAGCGTCAGGACCAGCAGCCTGGCTTCAGTCCGCGCAGACGTCCCCTCAGAGCCGTCAGAGCCGTCAGAGCCGTCAGAGCACAGACTGCGGACTCATCTGATCACAGATCCATGCTGTGGACTCATGTTCATACAGGGACCTGAAATGTCAACAACAGGGGGCGGACATCTTTGTTCTTCTTCTTTCTGCACTGAGAGGAGGGAGTGCAGTGCGCCCCCGTGTGGTCGGTGGCTTCGAGGCTTCAAGGTAATTCTGTAAATATCTGTTCTCCAAAAAACAGTGTAAAGAGCTTTTGTGTGATCTTGGTCCGTGAAATGTGCTATACAGATAAACATGACATACTATGACGTTTGCCATGTCACATAAACGTGTGTATTTATTTAAAAATATGGAGCCATTTAATATATTAATAATAAAAAATCATAATATAGAGAATTTGAAACTGTCCTGTGATTGGTACATGCATCACATCAATCTGAGACCATCAGAGGAAGCAAGAAATCACTTGTGTGCAATCTGGCATACTTTTTACAGTATTAAATAACATTTATGGACAGTAGTCTCTCCTACTTATTTACCAATGGCTGTGTTTTTATATTTTATCATTGCATTTCCTGAGTTTGAACTGTTTTATTCTCTGATCTGTGTTGGTGAATTCAACGTTTTATTTTAAGTCCCCCAAGATAACTACGGTTGTCATTTAGGGAAATTCAGTGAATAGAGTGTTTCTCATGTATAGAAAATCAAATAACTGAGTAAAACATTACAGTTACTTTTATTTAAAGTCAGGAAAACTTTTGTATCTTGTGTGCATTTGGTTAGTTGTGTGGTCAGTTCAGAAGACTCTCTGGTCTCTCCGGTAGCCTTCAGTCCTCTTCCTGTCCTTTGCGGCAGTATTGTACAGCTTTTGACAGCTGCAGCAGCACTCAACCTTACAACCAACAGGTTTGACATCTCTGGTCTCTCACTACAGCAGTCGTGAATTCAGGTGGTTAGAAAAAGTGCATACAATTTTTTAGAATGCAATCATTGTGATAAACTTTACTTTCACATTCCAGTGCATCTGTGGAGTTACCAGGTGAAGTCAAAATATGTTCAAATGTGATTCAGTTAAGGGGGATGGGGGAGAGGTGTGGGGTCAGAGAGTGTTTGGCTCAGTGTCTTGAGAGAAGTTGGAACCAAATAAGAGTCCCCTTCGTCCAATCTCTTTTTTAAACTATGTATTTGGGTTCAAATGTTTCGCTCAAGTGACCACGAATTACTATTACCATCTGTAAGCATGGATTTATTTTTCTCGGATTTTCATCTCGGGCTGCACAGAAGTCAGGTCTGAGCTAAATACTGACTGAGGAATTCACAAATGAATCATGTCGTGTCTGAGGAAATGAACCTGAGCCATTTTCAGGTTGCAAAACATGGACATGCATCAAACGAGACCGTGCCAAAGGAGACAAGTGCTGAGGGAAAGTCGAGCTAGTTTAACTCTTCACCCCCTCTCTGGTGTTTGCATCGAGTAAATAAGGATCTCCTGCTGATCAGAACAGGGTCTTTCTGAGTGGAGTTTGCATGTTCTCCCTGTGCCTGCTTAGGTTTCCTCCTCCCACCACTAAAAACATGCACACTAGGTTAACTCTTCCAGCTCTGGTCCTGACTAAACCAGGCATCAACATCTGGAGATAGGTTCCCAGGCGCTGTTACTATGGCGACCACTGCTCTTGAGACGCCCTAGAGGCATCAGGATGGGTCAAATGCAGAAGCTGAATTGCGCCACAGGGATAAATGAAGTGCAAGTACAGTCCAGTCTGGTCTTCCTTACATCATTGGTTGTTTGCCTCTGCTCCTCTGTCTGGGTTTGGATCACCATGACAACATAACACCCTTATGTGAAAGACCAGAGCAGACGGGTCACATGTGTTCCTCTTTATTACTATGTACAGACAGCACGGGCACAGGTAAAATGGGGGTTTTCAGGGGTTTTGGGGGGTCACTTAGGCTCCTCCCCCTTGGGCAGAGCTGGCGTGCTCTTGTCTTTGTGAGCGGGGAACACCTCCCACGGCGTGTTCAGGTCAAACTTCCTGAACTCCTGAGAGAGCTCCACCGGCTCTGCTACCACACGCTTCAGCTCGTCGTCATACCGCACCTGCAGATACACACACACACACACACACAGAGAGACACACACACACACACACACACACACACACACACACACAGAGACACACAAATTTACAGATTTATGTTGGTTTTACAGACTATGTTCATGGCTGTCATTTTGTCAAGTTAAATCGCAGTTGGCACCATTCCAGCTGATATTATTTGATGTCATTCATTTTGTCAATTATTGTTGACAATTGGCCAATCCTTCATTACACGTCATTAGCAAAAGATGAAACAGCTTCATCAAATGTAATACTTGAAATTTTAAGCTCTGTGTAGTGAGAGCTGTGTGTTGTACCTCCACAGTTCTGTATGTGTGTGTGTGTCGTACCTCCACATATCCGGAGAGTGGGAAGTCCTTCCTGAAGGGGTGTCCCTCAAAGCCGTAGTCCGTGAGGATGCGCCTCAGGTCGGGGTGGTTGGAGAAGAACACTCCGTACATGTCCCACACCTGAACACACACAAACACACACAAGTAAGGACACATTCACCGGCAATAAACCTACTCCTGCAGCTATCTTTGGGCCAAATAATATAGATTGCGAAGAGATTGCAAAGACATTGGGTCAGAAAGGGTCAGAAAGCCGTGACGTCTTTTAGACACAGATCGTTCTGACGACCCTTTCATCTGAAACTTATTGACATAAACATAAACAACAGAAGAATCTAACTCCTTGTCGAGTCCTGGGAGTTGTTTGGATCTAAATTTCTGCCCCTTGTTACGGTCAAATTGTGAGATTATGACCGTCCTATGTTGAGGTCAAAATCAAGCAAAGTTCTAACAAGGCTGTGATTTGTAAATTATTCTTTCAATAAATCCAAGTCGTAACTAATGTTGTTATTTATTTAGTTCTCAGTATGTCTTTCAAAATGTGTTGACAACCGTTTCAATAATCGATTCACTTCAAAGAGCTCAAAGGCAGTGGACAGATGTGTTGTGTTGTGTTGTGTTGTGTGTGTGTGTGACGTACCTCGCGCTCGTACCAGTTGGCGGCCTTGTGCACAGACTCTGCAGAGTCCACAGGCGTCAGCTCGTCCGTGTAGGTCTTCACTCTGATGCGAGAGTTAAAACGCAGCGACAGCAGACTGTACACAATCTACAACACACAACAACTGGGAGGTCAGAGGAATGCTGGAGGAGGAGGTTCAAAGTACGAACAAGGGTCATGTCCCAGATTCTGAATAGATGCTGCTGCTTCAGCTTAAAAACAATAAAGCATTTTTGATCTCTGTGGCGGTTGTTTTAACCAGTGGGGGCGGGTCCAGGCTCCAAAAGGTCCATGAGCACTAGGAGAGTGACGATATATCGATATTGTGATGTATCGTGATACTTTCTCACGCGATGGATTATCGATATGCTTTTGCCAAGTATTGTTTTGTTTTTTTATTAGTATCAATACTAAATGTATGGCTACATTACGCATCTCCATTCCATTTATCATGAGATAAAGTGTATTTTTTCACTGAACATTTTTCTTTTAGTTATGCCAATATGTGCTGTATTTGACTCCAGAGTTGATAATTAATTTATAACTTACACTTATAACTATTCTGTGTTTATTCAGATTGTTTCACTAAATGATTTCTATAACAGTATATTTCAGACCAATATATCAATAATCGTCATATTGTGATATAATCGTTATCGAGAGCTTTGTATCGCAGCGTGAGGTACCCTGAGGTTCCCACCCCTAATGAGCATGTGCGCTGACATGCAGCAATCTCACTCCGGGCCTGTGGGGGTGTACCCGGAAAGAGAATTACCCAATGCTTTTCTATGCCGTCTTCTTTCCTCTCGAGAAGGGATTTACAGGATGGTCAAAAAGTCGGCTTTTGGAGGCAGGGGGCTCACCTCGAAGCGGTTTTCCCGTGAGGGGACGTCCACCGCCGTCAGGTCGATCATGTTCCTGAACTGGGCGTTGGAGTGATCCCTGAGGAAGGTGAGGACCGGGATGACCCCGTCTGGGTGGATCATCAGCTCCAGCTCGTTGTAACACGTCACCTGCGCAGAGGGAACACACGGATGGAACTCTGCAAAGTCCAGAGCAACTTATATTGAGTAAAATGCAGCGTCTCTACACGGAGCAAGGTTGTGATGAAGTACATTCTTGACTGATCCGTGTAAGTTCATTTCATCTCTTGCACATAATAGACCCTGTATATTTTCACTTTAACATGTTTGCACATTTCCTGAGTGAATTATTGCAGCCAAATGTAACATGTCTCCATTGTGAGATCAAAAAAGTTTTATCTTATCTTGTATTGAAACTATTTTTGTTGATTGATTTCACAGCAACAATTGTTTTTTTACTGCAAATGTCAAATAAACTGAATCTCAATTTTATCTCCTCTGGGTTTGTTTGTCACAGAGACGTCACTTATTGGTGGATACGGGATCAATAAAGTATCTATTTATCTATTTCAAGCAAAGGAACAGGACCACTTGGAGATAGTTCAATTTAGGGCTGGGCGATATGGCTGAAAACTATATCACGATATAAGTCATTCATATCGGTCGATAACGATATATATTGAGTTTTTTTTTTTTTAACCTAAATAGATATATTTGTCGTGTGGGCTAACCAACCTTAGCAGCCTTGTTTACAGTCACGGGGCGATGAGGCTGGGGGAATATGTTCACACTGTGTCCCCCGTTGTTAGTCCTGGTTTAGCTCCTGGTTTAGCTCCTGGTTTAGCTGTTTGAGGGTCTTGTGTCCCCGTGACCGCTCCGTGCGGCTCTCTGTGCCGCACATGCTTCCCGAGGAAAAAGTTAATCTCTTGCTTTCGCCGAATACATAGGGTCTGTCCACTGCCTCTGCCGCCGCACATGTTATTCCGCGCACGTACGTGCACAACCATTGACACGGCATTGAAACACGAGCTATAGATCCATGGACGCTACGCATGCTGCGGTTGTTGGTGTTTTTGCATTTCCCAGAAAGTTTTGCGGTTCCTGCTCGGCTGTTATTGGTCGAGAAGCCTCTGCCTACATCCCCCACAATGCCATGCGCTTATGAGTCGGCTTTACTTCCGGTGTTTTCTTCCTGTTTTTCCTGACGGAGTTAAGTTAAACTATCGAACATTCTATCGACCCCATTCTCTATTGATATCGAACACATGTCTATCGCGATATATATCGTTATCGTTTTATCGCCCAGCCCTAGTTCAATTCAATTAAATCTCAGAGGACTTTGCAAAGCTGTCGATTTGCCAACACAGATCAGAGAATCAAACAGTTCGATAGTGCAGTGATGAAAAACACAGAGAGCCATGAGGGACGGATGACCACTGTCCATGAATGTTGTTAAATGTCGAGTTCTACGTTTGTGAATCGTCTAAAGGCGTCGGCCTGTTCACCGTTTACACATTTCAAATACTTTTCTGTGTCCTGTACCTCTTTGTTTCCAAATGTACGTACTGCAGCTTTAAGGGAACAACTCTTTAAAGGAAATAGTTTTGCAATCAAGTGTGATGCTACTTAGAAAAACCACGGTTAATCCAGAACACAGCACATTATCTGATGAGATTAGGATTTTCTATTTGACACAAGCAACTGATCAGTGATTTTCTTAAAAACTAAACGATCTGAAAAAGAGGAAACAAGATCCCAAAACTACTCAGAGACCAGCGTATAAACTGTACAGCATATAGGCAAGGCAAGGCATGTTTATTTGTATAGCACAATTCATACACAAGGCAACTCAAAGTGCTGAACAACATAGCATTAAAATCATAAATAATCACAGAACATTAAAAAGAAAGATAAAAATATAAAATCCCTCAGTTGTATGCACAGCTAAACAGCACAGTCTTTAACCTGGTTTTAAACATTGTCAGAGAGGAGGCCTGTCTCACATCTTCAGGAAGAATGTTCCAGATTTTAGCAGCATGAATCTGAAAAGCAGCCTCCCCATGTTTAGTTCTGACTCTGGGCACTAACAGGAGTCCAGTCCCTGTGCTCCTCAGAGTCCGGGCTGGTTCATATGGGACTAACATGTCACTAATATATTTTGGTGCGAGGCCATGGAGAGACTTGTACACAAGCAAAGCTGTTTTAAAGTCTATTCTCTGAGCCACAGGAAGCCAGTGCAGAGACCTGAGGACCGGACTAATATGGTCGTACTTCCTGGTTCTAGTCAGGACTCGAGCTGCTGCATTTTGAATGTACTGCAGCTGTTTTACAGCCTGTTTGGACAGACCTGTGAGCAGGCCATTGCAGTAGTCTAACCTACTGGAGACAAATGCATGGATAAGAATCTCCAAGTCTGCTTTAGACACTATGTTTTTTATCCTGGCAATGTTTTTTAGATGGTAAAAAGCTGCAGATGTTACTGATTTGATGTGGCTATTAAAATTTAAGTCTGAGTCCAGTATTACCCCTAGATTTCTGACCTTGTTTGAAGGTTTTAGGGAGAGAGACTGTAGGTGACAGATGACGCTCTCTCTTTGTTTCTGGGGACCAAAGACAATCATTTCAGTTTTGTCTGCGTTTAGCTGAAGGAAGTTGTTTTGCATCCACTCACTGATCTGTTGGATACAGTGAAGGAGTGAGTCCACTGGTCCATGTTCTCCTGCAGTCAGTGAGACATAGATCTGAGTGTCGTCTGCATAGTTATGATAGGAAACTTCGTTTCTGCGTATTAAGTGACCTAACGGCAGCATGTAGAGATTGAAAAGAAGAGGTCCCAGGATCGACCCCTGTGGTACTCCACAGGTCAGGGCCATATGATCTGAGACACAGTTTCCAATCTCCACAAAGTACTTCCTGTCTTCAAGGTAAGACCTAAACCAACTTAGGGCGGTGCCAGCGACGCCAACCCAGTCCTCTAGTCTCTGTAAGAGGATCTCATGGTCGACAGTGTCAAAGGCAGCACTCAGATCTAACAGGATTAGGATTGAGACTTTGCCTGCGTCAGTGTTTAGCCGGATATCGTTTGTAACCTTGACGAGAGCAGTCTCAGTGCTGTGGTGGGGTCTAAAGCCGGACTGAAACATATCAAATGAGTTGTTGATTATAAGAAATCTATTTAGCTGTTGGTAGACAACTTTTTCAAGGACTTTCCCCATAAATGGCAGAATTTTGAGATGGGACGGTAGTTGTTAAGTACCGTAGCATCCAGACTGCTCTTTTTAAGCAGGGGCCTGATGACTGCAGTTTTCAGGGCCTTTGGGAATATTCCAGAATGAAGGGACATGTTTACTATCTGTGTGAGTGAAGGTAACAGACTGCTCAGAACAGACTTTAGAAATCTAGTGGGGAGTACATCCAGGCTACATGTGGAGGCGCTCAGACTGGAGATTATCTCTTGGACAGTTTGATCATTTACAGGTGCAAAGCAAAAATGTGTAGTGCACATTTCAAACAGCCTAGGCTTACTAATGTGCTGTACAGACAGTAAAAACACAGAACAATACAGAAATATATATACACATAAAAACCTCTTTCTACCTGGTCGTAAAAGCCAAAGAGAAAAGGTGCGTCTTAAGCAGGAAGTTAGCCTGGTCGTACCACACCATAGTACAAATTACATTTCGTACTAAGGTCTGGATTTGCTCCATTGACTCCGTTTACAGGTGGGAGGGGTTAACTCCTTTTACAGGTTGAAACATTTGGATCTGAGTTTACCGTGACGTTTGTAATGCGCCCGAGTCTGTCGTTAGCATTTAGCCTAGCTTTAGCCATCTCCTTTGCCGCTAACGGAGCCCGTGGGGAGTAGCGCCACAATTTTTCCAGCAATTACATTTGCTAAACATTCCTCTTGCTCCGGCTTCAATTTCTTGATAGAACCAGGCCGGATTACTTTACCATCACATTTTTCGCCATTGCCAAACTACAACCTTCCCGTTCGACGCAAACTCTTGACGTCACCCACATCTAAATAAAACACTCTCCTTCCGCGCTCTCTGAATGGTCGATTGAAATTCAACCGATCATATTCGCTAACCCAGGGACCAGACCCAGACGTTACATGCAGTGAAATGATGATTGAGCGGCGTGTACGGATGGATAAGACCAGGCTAACAGGAAGTAATGGTGTCCTTCTGTTGTAGCTCATCACGGTCTACACGGTGCCGGGGATGGACTCGGACTGGCTCATCGGAGAGCGGGGGAATCAGAAAGGAAAAGTGCCTTGGACGTACCTGGAGCTGCTCACCTAGAGACCGGCCGCAGCTCGCTAACCCTTCGACCCGACTAAAGCCATGCTCTCTCCCCCCTCTGACTCTCACCTCAGTGACCGCAGCACTCGGACTGAACTCTGGCTGCAGAAAACCCGAACCCCTTTTGGATGTGCATTCCTTTTATTTATAATATACACAACGTCCGGCTGTATTTATTCCACGTATTTATTTTGTGACGACCTGTGTTTTTTTTTAACAGTAGCGCTTTAATGCACTTTTTGTTACTACCTGCTGAAGCCGACTGCTGCCACAAACACACTATTTATTAGTCCATACCTTGAAGACTTTTCTGCAATAATAACACTTTTCATTCATACTAGCATCATACAAACATGCCTTTATGTTGTGTTTTTTACCTTGTCCTTTTCTCACAAACACATGCAAGGATTAGAAAACTACTTTATCACAACATCTATACACTACCTGGATATACAGAAACAGACGTGATGAGAAGCTTTATTACTCAAGGTTCATGTGAAAGACGATACCAAGACACTACAAGACAAATACAAAAAACTAAACAAAAAAATGCTCATGGGCCCGGACTGCTTCGGACTCTAGACTTTAAACTCCTTCCATTGTCTGAAAAAAACAAATCATGAAAACTATTTACCAACAAATACCTAAAATCACCCAAAAGTCTGTATATTGGATTGCATTTGCACACAAGAAGTCAAAGTAGCAATAAGAATCACGTCATCCATCTGCTTTGTGACGGCACCATGTTGTTTGATGCAGAAATATCCTGTTCCGCCACACACACGATCCATTCCAACACTTCTCGTTTCACTGCTT